GGTCTTATCTGTCGGTTTCGCCCGCTCAGAAGAAAAAACTTATTTTGGTTTCAACAAATGCTACATGCCACATGTTGCCTGAGCCGCAGCACTTGTTGAACTAACTTAAGATAAACTTTTTTATCGTTTGCTCTCCAGCTTTTCATTTTTATGGCATACGGCTAGTTCCCCGAAATTTATCAAGATGTCTTACGCCGGCCCCTTGAATTCGGATCGCTGCCGGATAGAGTGTGGACTTGTGAATATTCATCGAGATCACTGTCGCGCTACTTATTCTTCAGATTCATCGTTACACCAACGCGAAATAACGTACTTGAACTTTTAGTATTTGAGCTTTGAGGTCTCTGAGAGTGAGATTGTAGTTACTGACTCGAAAAATTCTAACTTCGTGATTCAGGACAGTGTCCATGAAGTTTGAGTTCGGAAATTTCCATGGCGCTCGAAGTTGCAGGTTATATGAGATATTTGAACTAATTTAAATCAAACCATGTTTACATACGTCAGGTGGTCTTATTGCAATCTGGGAGGAGGAAAAGACAGACAAGACGGATGATTCAACTCCCTTTCTCGAGTTATCTCGAGACACTTGCCGAATTCAAGTTTGATTCAAGTCGACCGGCAACTCCGAGTCACTCAACCGTGTAAAAAAATGATAGTCGGCCTTGTCATCGGGAGAGTCCTCTTAATTTAGATTCGCATTTATGCCTATCATCAAGTCAACGGAACCCACGGCTATGACAGGCTTTTGAATTTGAAGACATCGAACTTTATGGATGGAAAAGATTAGGGCTGAATGTTGCGGCTGCCGTTTTCATTGGTTGTCACTCAGGTTGACTCAAATTTCTCTTCCATGCGAGCAGAAACACAATATCACAACGGTAAGTACTTAGATAATTTGAAAAGACAGCTAGACAATCGGAAGAACGTTTCTTGTTGAATTTCTATCTTGCAACTATGCGATGACATGTGAAGTGTTTCTATTCAAAGCGAGAAAGGGGGCCGGAAGGGTTCGTCAAAATTTTACGATTTCAAGATATCCACATACTATTGCACTAAGTTGACTACTGTCAAAGCTCAAGGGCTCCTGTGGCTTGGCTCTCCCTTGAATTAGCGCCGGGTTTCAACATTTGGTAATTGAATTCAGTTTAGGAGCTTATGAGGCGTTGATTATTCCCCAGTCGAATTCACCCCTCAGCAGAGCTCACACTCCTCTAGTATAACGGCGTAGTGACTATTTCCGACCACTGATAAATTGAAACAGTAGAATCAAGTGTTTTTTCTCACTTGATCTTCGATATGGTTAAATTGGAAGAAACTATCATAGATTTAGCTATGACCAGAAAACCGGGTTTCAATCCGAAATCAAGCCATACCATACTAATCGCTGAAGACGCATATCAAGGGCCGCCCCATATTGAAGTCGCTGTAGAGAACTGTCGGAAGAAGAAAACAGGGTGGTCGAAAGACATTTTTGCAAACAAGCCCGGAAGCATCAAATTCGAGAGCTTTTCAATACAAATATACCAATGAATCGGTAGCCACAGTGGCGTTTATAGTCGTATTTCGCACAATTACATTTCTGTGGCTGTAAGTAATCTTCCAGAGAGCACCTAAAATGTGAGCTAAAGTCGGCCTCGTGATGCTTTTCTACATTCACCGCCGATTGCGAATGCCTCTGATTCGGGTTGTTGACCGTTGGTTATGTGATTCTGGGGACCATAGTATGTGACGGTCCATCAATCATGATTACCAGAACTATTATAGTGCTAAGCTAGGCGAGGGGTAACCCTACAATCCAGACGCTCAGCACAGCTAGTAAAAGTCATTTTTCAACAAGTCAGTCCAAGATGATCATTACTCGAAAAAAGTTACTCACCAAAAGGCTCCATCGCAGAAATAGTCTTCGACATTTTCATTGGGCAAGCTGGAAATATTTTTTGTCGCCAAAACCGACGCGATGGTAATCCAAATTGTATCATCTGCCATGTATCTGCCAACACAGACCCTAAGAGATATGAGGGATTAGTAAAGCCGAGTATGGAAGTGAGTTACTATACCACCTTCTTCCAAAGCCGTATGCTAGAATGGAGTTGATTTTATTCTTCTTGTTCAAATGTCTCTCAGGAATGAATTGGTTCGGCTTGTCAAAATGAGACTCGTTGTGTGTCATAGCCCTAACGCATTGCTGTTTATAAGAGTGGAAACAGTGGAGCACTTTGTGAATTACACACCAGATATTGGCGGAGATGGTTGTCCCTGGAATCAAACCAGAATAAATTCAATGTCGAAAGATTAATGATGTGGTCTACTCACCTTTAGGAATGTAATATCCCTTGTGATATATGTCTTGTGTAGAATTTGTATGCGGTAGTCCTAATATGAAGGCAGTCACGTTCAATACTTGGTCAAACACGGACTATCACGGGTGGCCCGACATACCCAATGGAATAGCAGGATGCCAACGCATGACCTCCCGATAAACAGCATCGACATATGGAAGCAATGAGCGGTCATCAAACGTTGGAAGTTTTCCGTGTCCAAGAACAGCATCAAGCTCTTGTTGGGCTTTGAGTTGGACATCTGGATAAAGACTCATAGCAAGGAAGAATGTACAAATTGCTGACATTGTCTTGAAGACATCAAAATCGAGTACCAAAAACTCCAGCTGATACATATACTTACCGTATCAGCAGCTGCTACAACTGCTTGCATTGCCATATTCTTAATCAGTTCAAGATCATCACTGGATCTTTCTTGTGGCTGTTCAGATATGAGTTTGGCCAACAATGACCGATGATTTTGATCCGACTCCTATACATGGAACTATCAGCTTATATCTAGACGTAATGTGTTAGAAGCAAACGAATGGCACATAGCTCACCATGGCATTCAGAGTCTGCACCCATGGACCCTCTGCTGTCTCACTGAAGGCTTCATGAATGTTTTCATGCATTATCCGAAGTTTACCTCCAGGGAACCACGATGGCAGGAGATGAATAAATGGAATTGATTTGATTGCTGCCCATCCAGGAAGGAGGAGTGAATCATTCAATTCTATTGAATCACGAGCATATTGAGGCAAATCTTCTTTGCTACTAGAGATCTCCAAACCATACACAGAATCAAACATGATGACCTGGGAGAGACTATGTACGGGATTTAGTGGGACGAAACGGAGGAGGAATATCATTAGTACTTACGTAGACACTTGATCCTTCAATGACATTTCCGATGAATCAATTCCATCCAGAAACTTGTAAATATGCTTGATCTCAATGGGCCGATAATCAACGGATGCCTCTGCTCGGAAATTTTGATGCATTAGCTTGCGGTACGCTCTCCATTCATCACCATAAGGTGCCAAGCCTAGAAGGTGCAATCGCCATGAACACGTCTTTTCAATAATTGACTTGGGACACGTTTTCAATACCTACCCAATACCCTTTTGTTGACAGCACTTCAGGAAGAGACCTTGGTCAATAAGGTGTCTATACTGAGCCAAGTACTTATATAGGCTTACATTCGATCTAGTTCTGTATGGACAGGACGGTCGGATGTTGATCGTGCTTGACGTTCGAGAATCTCATTTGCCGTCTCTAGAGAGTTGATGACCAGGTAATGTTTTCCAAAACGAGTGAAGTGTATGAGGTCTCCTATAAATAATACATGTGTTCGAATATTTTTTTGAGCATGTTACGGAGAACAGGAAAAGTGATTTAGTACCGTATTTCCGTCCCCACTCCACGTAAGTAAACCATGGCTTAATCATGGGAACTTTGATTAGACCTAGGAACCAATAGCCTTGGGGACCGGGAGGATAGGGAGATTGAGACGATTGCCGAGCATAAGAGAGGATACCGAAGATTGCACTGAAAATCAGAGCGTTTGTTAGAAGGTTGTATGGTAGAAAAATACTAGATATGTGGAAAGTCTCCATCATTATGGTCCTCTGGAGAATGTAAGAGAACGTATTTATAGGAAAAGAAACAGCCCGCTAGAATATAAAGACAGTACATTCATCGGATAAAAAGGGACGAATTGCAAGCTTTACAGGTAGATGATCTCATAGTGGACATCCATAAAGTTTAGAACGTAGTACTTACGAACTGTCGATGTCAATGTGTCAACGTTGTCAACTCTCATTCAAATGCTAGTAGAGATCTGTTCCCTGGGAGAACCGTACTCACAACAGGATTGAGTAAGAAGCTCTCCGAAGAGAGAAAATCTACATAGAAGAGCGGCCTCTTGAAAGAAGCATGACTAGGACTACTTACCCTGCCCATTTTCAACTCTTGACGGTAAATTTTGAATTTACCTAGATCAATATTGTGACTCGAAGGGTACACGTCACTACATGCTTATACTGCCCCCAAGTCGTTTCACCAAACGACTCAGTTGCGTCGCACGCACTTATCTCTGCACCGCTGTGCAAACTTCTGGCCGCGCTCGGCATCCGGAAATTTCCGGTCATGTAGCGGTCATGTAGAGTCTTTCACTTCTCACTGCCCGCTGTACCCAGGTATGTTCTATATACACTATTCAGCTCTTCTCGTCTACTGAATGTTGTATACAGTTTTTTCATCGCTTACCCACCCACCGACCCTCAAATTGTATCTCCCACTCAGGCCGTACCATCAAATGTAGTAGCCTCCTGTTTATTTCCATGTCTACTTTATTTGCTCCTACTGTACCATAGTTTCCTGCCTCTTGTATTTCGTACTTGTATAGCGGTCACTCGCATGCCCGTTTGTAATCCATCCCGGCCCCGGGAAAAGGCACGTAGATGATCTCATAGAACTTAGTACTTATGAACTGCCGATGTCAATGTGTCAACTCTCATTCAAATGCTAGTAGAAACCCGTTCCCTGGGACAACACTCAGAATAAGTAGATCGAGTAAGAAGCTTATGTTCTCCAAAGAGAGAAAATCTACATAGGAGCGGCCTCAAAGAAGCATATGCATGATCTCGTCTTTTGCAGACTACCCTGCATGTTTTCAACTCCCTGGTAGTATATCGGTTAGTACACGCGCCTGTCAATCCACCAATCGGAGTCGACGGCCTTGACCGGTGACGCGCGAAAGCTGGGTTCGACTCCCAGCCAGGGAGATATAGGCACGTGAGGGACTATTTTTACGTTTGAGGTTCGAGCCAGCAAATTTTGGGTCAAGGAGGGCACGAGCACGATATAACCTGCGAACACTCAAAAGCGGACTTCAAGTCAACGCAAGATGTCTGGAAGACACTCTGATTGATAATGGTATTTTGAGGTATTCCTAATGATACACTGATGAAGATTTATGAATGTTAAAAATTAAACCTTTACTTCTCTCCCCCTCTTTTTCCAAAAAAAAAAGACTAAAGTCTACAAACGGCTTTGGATCTGTACGATCCAGGCAACTGCAGAGTTCATTGCCCGAGCGCGATCTTGATCGCAGCATCAAAATCAGCGATGATATCCTTGATATCTTCGATACCGACCGACACCTGTAAATCCATTCAAGGAACACATAAATAAATAGACTTCAAACAAATGACGATAGACTTCAAACAAATGACGAGACCAAAGACGGAGAAAAAAAAACAGAAAGCTTCTACTCACCCGAATCAAATCACCTGTCACACCCGCAGCCTTCTGCTCCTCTTCCGTTAACTGAGCATGAGTCGTGCTCGATGGGTGAATGACAAGCGTCTTGGCGTCACCCACGTTTGCGAGATTCGAAGCCAACTTGAGCGAGTCGACGACTTTGGAAGCTCCCGCTGCGTCACCCTTGATCCCGAATGACAACACTCCACCAAAGACGCCCGGCCTCAAGAGTTTAGTGGCGAACTTGTGAGAATCGTGAGAGGGAAGGCCGAGGTAGGATACCCAGGCGATTTTAGGGTGGGCTTCTAACCATCTGATTTTTTTTATTTCAAAGGTTGAAATGATTGACAGTTAGGGGGAGGGGGGTGTTTGTTAGCGAAGTATGATATGAGACGAACCACGGACGTACTTGGCTAGCTCCAGAGCGTTTTTCGAATGCCTCTCTCCCCTCAAGCTGAGGGTTTCGAGACCTTGGAGAAGAAGGAACGCAGCGAATGGGTTCATGCATGGGCCAATGTCACGAAGGAGCTCAACCCGCACTTTGATCCCAAACGCGGCTTTTCCTATGTCTACGAATTTGAGTCCGTGGTAGCCTTCCGAGGGTTCAGTGAAGCCAGGGAATTTGGGAGAGTTCCAGTTGAATTTGCCTGCACGGAACGAAATAGATGTCAAATGGATTTTCCTGCGGGAAGGAAGAAAAGAACATGCCTCCATCAACGATAACTCCGCCAATTGTCGTTCCGTGACCTCCGATCCATTTTGTTGCGGAGTGGACTATAAACGGGTGGAACAGATTCAATTACAGTTTCAATGTCAGCGGAAACAGATGCAGGAGTGGGAGAAAAGAAAACAGACCGACGATATCCGCGCCCAAATCCAACGGTCTGACAAGGTATCCTCCCATACCAAACGTGTTGTCAACAATGAGTGGGATACCGTGGTCGTGCGCGACCTACAAATACGCGTCGACGCGTTAGTGTTATAAACTCGAACAACATCATGATAGCGGACCCACCTTAGCCAAAGCAGGAATGTCCATAACCTTGTATTTAGGATTCGCGATACTCTCAATATATATCGCCCTGGTCTTTTCGTCAACCGCAGCAGCAAACGACTCAGCGGAATCGTCTGTAACCCATTTGACGTTGATGGCGTATTTTTTGAGGGTCACTGTGCGCCAGAAACGCGTCGATCTTTAAAAAATGGTCTTTTCGTTTCAAGGGAAGAAAGACACGTACCTTTGAACTGATTATATGTTCCTCCGTAGAGGAACGAGCTCGATACAATGTTATCGCCAGCCTCTGCAATAGCGGAAATAGCCAAAAACTGTGCAGATTGACCAGACGCAGTGGCAACGGCACCGATACCGCCTTCGAGTTGAGCTATACGATTTTCAAAGACGTCTACGGTGGGGTTACCGATACGGGAATAGATAAAGCCAGGAGCTCTGGGAGAAGACAAGTGAGAGATAAGAACATCGGTTGATATTCGAAGAAGACATACTTAAGATCAAAGAGATCGGCACCGTGGGCAGAGTCGTTGAAAACAAAAGAGGTGGAGGCATAGATAGGGACTGCCCGAGCCTGGAAAGATATACATTAATCAGTACGCGATCCTTCCAAAAGCAGCTAGGAGTCGCGTACGTACATTGGTGGTAGGATCAGGAACTTGACCGCCGTGGATCTGAATGGTATCAAACTCGGGGGCTTTGTAGAACTGTTGGTCGGCCATCGCAAACTAGTGGGAAGAGGGTAGAAGATGGGGGATAACTACGATGGGTATTTGTTCTGTCCAAGTGACCTTTTTGAGATGCTATTTGAATAAATTAAAACGCCAGACGAATAATTGCGTGCTCACTGGAACCACCAAAGATCACGCCATCCTCGTCTCAAACGTGCAATTCCTAACTATGACCTATCGATGTTGCCTACATTTGCCTTGATTTTCGTCAACGTTGTCTGCGTTCGCCATCGCCATTGTGTCCAAGTAACCTGAAAAATAGTCGACGCGTTCACACGCAGTCTTTCACCCCTAACTTCAACTACGTATGCGTCTTTCTCTGCCAAGTAACAACCCGAGCAGAAGCTTAAACGTGGGACGCATATCTTTTCTTATGGCGGCTATATGAGCATCTTCTAATAGTATGTGCCCATCTCCGAGGTCCTAATTCGCTTTACTTACGAGCAAATAACTCTGATGTTACCCACCAGATTGCATTCGCTAATGTCCTTGTATTCAAATGCAACCTCAGATTCAAAGTTCAAGCCTACAGATTAATCGTTTCTATGACAGAGTCTCAGTCTGGTCGAGACCTTTCACTCTTTAGCACTGGCACCCTCAGTCTCGAATCAAGTTCTTTCGCATGACAGAACCACGTAATACTGCTGGAATTTAGATTAATGTTCAGACTGATAATCAATAAGTACTCGCCACCTGCTAACTCCAGGACGTAATTCATGTCCGTCTCGTATAGTCATTTGACCTTCAGTGGGATTCTTTGCTTCAAGTTGAACGTTGCTTTGAGAGGACCGGGGTCGCTTCCCGAACAACCTGTTCGAGTCAAACTTTCGAGGTCTAGTGAACCTGATTGCTCATAATCGTCTCATAGCTGTGTAAACGACACTCGTCTCTGATCGATCCACCCAAAGCCTGTACGCTCTCCATTCAGCCGTGCAAGGATCAAAGTTTCAATAAACATTTTTCATGGCCATTCATTGCTAACGTCAGTTTGTAGTACTTACTTATGTTGAAATAGGTACGCAACAGCGACACCTTCCATCATTACTTCTTCCTTTTTTACTCTCTGATCCGCGAAATAACAGCAGAAAATTTTCTTTGAACGTATCGCCTTCTGCTTTCTCTGTTTTTTGCAGTAAAACGGGATCTGGATGATCGTATCGTCACCGGTTCGAACGTATCATCTCCTTTTAATACCTTTTTGTTTTGCAGCGACGGGAGATCTGCATAATCAAGACAAGAAATGGCATCCCATCGACGCATCAGTATGTCACTAAGGAGGTGCAATATTCATCTCCGACAAGTTGTTAGTTTGCCGCTCTGTTTTTCCGTTCCGTGAATAGTAGTGAGTGTAGTTCCTCTATAGTTAAACGATACCCCTAATGCAAATGGCCAATAAGCAACCAGGACGACAATTGTGGTGGATTACTGGGACCATTCGAGATGATCGTACCTGATACAGTGTACACCCCTGTACCTACCCGACCCTAAATCAGAACAACACGTCCGGCCTTCCAAAGCAGTATCCAATATACTCCCTAACTGCTCTTCAGGTGTGCTTGCGAGCCACCGCCATAAGAAATGTAGCGACTCAGAACAACTTGAACCAAATTGCGATGATCTTGGTCCCTGGAGAACCACAGAATAGGCGTGTATGTGTACACCAATGAAGACCTGATGCTCTAATCTCGATTGAGGAAAGGCGGCTGTTAGAGTCTACTTAGCAAAAGCTATATAGTGTGCTGTTTAGTGTGGCGGTCAGGGCCCTTGATAGTCCAGGGGTATCCTGAACATCTCCGGCGCCATCACTCTGAAAGGTTTGCAGTAAGGTGTTTACAAGAGAACTGCTCGAATGCCACGATGAATCAATTTTCAGCAACGTGAATAGGATCTCTGGTGTCTTCTTTTAAAAAAAAGGCATGGGACGTGTTAAGTGCGATCATGAGTGCAACTAAAAAGGTTCCATCCTACCTTTCCTTTAGTGTATAGAGGAGTTGTTGGCAAGCTAATATTCTCAGCTTTCGTTCGAGGTATGCGCTCTACCGTGGTATACGAGGTAACAAGAGTTGCCACCACATCGACAGGGAGACAAACGAACTCATGCTATCGATTGTGATGCATCAGGACGGTGCTCTCATTACCGAATGAAGTTTGTCTGTTGATCGAGGACTTACCGTTGTTGGCACGTCTCGACGATTGGAAGCAATTAGGAAAATCCATCGTAGCTGAAAGTTCAAAAGGGACCGACGATGATACGGACAAGAAAAAGAGTGTGAACATCCTTCAAGAAGGAGAAAAGTAAGCGAGTCTCTCAGCCTTCTCTTATAAGAATATCAGAATAACAAGACAGCTTGTGAAACAGTCAAGACTCAAAATACTTATGCAAGTCGACGCTCTGCACTGGTCCGTAGCGGGCTTGGGGCTAGCGCCTGTTCCTGTTAGGCCCTGAAAATCTGAAACCGAATACAAGCCAACTCAGTCACTCGGAATGTCGAGCTCCGCAGCCGGACGGCCGACTTCGCCTCAAACCCAGCTGAAGAAGTACAACACGATACATGCACCCCTGCAACTCGGTAAGAATAGCCAATAGGTCCCCTGCAACAGGTTTTGTTCTAAACTTTGCGTTTTTCGACAAGATCTATTCGGAGGAAGAGGAAAGGTGAGACAGACTCAGACAGTCCAACATCAAGTGGATAAGCAGAGCCGTGTATCATAGTCCGCCCCATATATAATTTACCTAAAAATCAAACAGACGAACTCGACAGAAGGACGATAATTCCCAAAG